AAGCAAGCAAGCAAGGAAGGAAGGAAGGAATGACTGTTTTGGTTCATTTGAGAGTATAGTCCATCATGGTGGAGGAAGGTCATCTCAGCAGGAGGTGACAAGCCTGGTCCTGTTGCATTCAGTCAGGAAACAGATGAGTTCCTTTCACCTTCTCTGTTTAATTCTCTCTGGGGCCCCTGTGCATAGGATGGTTCATCTTCCCACCTCTCTATAAATGATGTCAGACTGAGAAAGAGGCCTGTCTCCTAAATTCAACTAAGTTGACAGTCAAGGTTAACCAAACCTGGGGCTGAAGAGACACGTCAGTGAGTAAAGGTGCTTGCTACCAAGCCTGATGACCTGAGTGTCAGGAGAGCTGACTCCCATAAATTGTCCTCTGACTTCCGCACATACTGAAGAGGCATGTGTGGCATTCGTATACATGCATCCACACGAACACACACACACACACACACACACACACACACACACACACACTTTGAAAAGAATTAGTCACACCAGGAAAATCTGGGCAAAGCTTCCGTGAAGGACTGACTAACACCAATAGGGAGGATATGGGCTTTGAAAAATAGTAGCAGCTATGTAAGGAGGAGGCCACTAATGACTGTAGAAGTTCCATGGCATGTGGCCTTGTGCCGGGTTGTAAGGAATAAGTAGCAGACCCCTTCTCCTCTCCTCTTCTTCCTCCTCTTCAATCATCTTCCTTTTTGTGTTTCTACATCACTAATATTTATTGGTATTTGTTTTTAGAGAATATATTCAAAGAGACATTGGTACTGAAACTGAATGTACAGTCTTAATTCTGATTGGATATGGGACAAAACCACCCTTTACTACTTACTCATTTCACTGAGTTATGCTATTTCATGTCTATCAGTATGTCCCAGAATTTCTATGAGCATTTGTTACTATGCAAATACTTTGTATGACCTGAGTGCTCATCTCAAAACATAGAGTGGTAGTCTTTTCTTGGAGTCTGGATACAATCAGGGCATTTCATGCTCACATCAAGCCTGTAAAATGGGGTTCCACATGAATCCCAAGCTGGGTGTCTCATCTGGAAGTCCCCAAGTGCAGATCTGGAAGTCAGGATCTGCTGCTGATGGCATGTCTGTGCTCCATCAGCATATTGATGTTGTCTTTGTGCTAGAGAACCGTAAAAAGCATCATACTTTGTAGTTCAGAAAGATCATTTTGCTGGTCAGGTTTTCTGCTGGCTCTGTTACATTGTGTAACTAAGAAAATTCCCCGTGAGCTCCAGCTTTACCCAAAGTAGAGAGCGTGTAAGAGCCCCAGTACTGGCCATCCTTGTGGTCACCTTGGCTCTGATTTTGAAAAAAAGATTGACAGAAGCAGGTGATCTGAAGTCTCTGGCAGTGACTTTTTCTTCCCAGCCCAGCAGTTTCTAAAAAATCTGGTCCCAGGTACCTCATTACATTCTGACAAGTCACTTGGAGGAAGTTAGTACCTTTGTCAGCCAGCTCAGGAGATCAGGCATCAATATTTGTGCAAGCCAGCCTAGTGTTATTACTCATACCTGCTTCCACCTCTGTATGGCAGGGCTGCAGTATTCAGACAGTTAATTAGTCTTGCCTAGGGAGCATGTAAACAGATTTCCTTGTTAAAAAAATAGCAATACAGTGATTCTCCATCCTGTTACATCTCAATACATGCCTGGGATTCTTTGGAATGAGCTTTTGATTGCCACATTGGCAAATGGACCTCAGTTTTTCTTCGTATATTAAATGGAAAAAATACTTCCTTGTAAAGAAGGCATATTCTATAAAGGATATTCTGTAATTGGGACTGGAGAGATGCCTCAGTTATTTAGAGTACTTGCTGGTCTTCCAGAGGCCTGGGCTTTGGTTCCCAGCACCTACATGGCAGCTCAGGAGATCAGGCATCTATCTTTGTGTAACTCCAGTGCCCTCTTCTGGCCTCCATAGGTACCAGACATGCATGTGGCAGCCATAGCCACACACACACACACACACACACACACACACACACACACACACACACAAAATATTAAAACATCTAAAAAAATATCCTATAAAATCACTGGGTTTGAAAGAAAAATAGTATTAAGTAGTTGATTTTGGTTTCTGGCTTTGCCTGTGTTGACCTGATGAATCTTTCTAGGGAGATTTCAGGAGCCTGTGGTCGATGAAGGGGTGAGGTCCAATGAAAGCTCCTTAATTGTATGGCAGTTTGTATTGTTAACGGCATGCTGGAACAGCTACCTAGTGAATAATGTACATGCAACGCAATTTTATACCAGCAAGTTTATTGGTTCCAGGTAGCTGAGTAAGGCACCCAGAGGTTAAATGGTTTGCCGCAGGCCACCCAGTAAGTGTGTGGTTGGACCAGATTTAGAACAGAGTTCTAATTAACTCTTGACTTCCAGCTTTGTGCTAAGGCTCACCACTCTGTACCCACACACTGGAGTTCACTTGTCAGAGGAAGGAGCACTTCATATTTTGACTTGTCTGCATATGTTACTATTATTATTATTATTATTATTATTATTATTATTATTATTAAATTCGAAACCAAATGAGGCAACCTATAAGAGGTATTCAATTATAGACAGTGAAGTACACTCAAAGGCAGTAGAGTACAAGGAAAGATAAAATTCCAAAAAAAAGGGGGGGCGGGGCTGGAGATGGCTCAGGGGTTAAGAACACTGACTGCTCTTCCAGAGGTCCTGAGTTCAATTCCCAGCAACCACATGGTGGCTCACAATGAGATCTGGTGCCCTCTTCTGGCCTGCAGGCATACATGCAGGCAGAAAATTGTATACATATACATAATAAATAAAATATTTTTTAAAAATTCCCAAAAAAGTAAGTGTAGAAAAAGGGATTCTCCAAAAGATGCTGATCTAGTGATTGAATGGGAGAGTAAAGGTACTTCGGCTGGACATCAGATTCCTCAGAGTTTACAATGTGATTTGAGAGACTGGCTGGTCACTGGAGCACAAGTAAGCCAAGGGTGTGGTGAGAGCCTGGAGCTATAGGAAAAGTTCTTTCTAGCTTTGACAGACATAGGGAGGAGTAAAGCGGTGTAGATCTCTCTCTCTCTCTCTCTCTCTCTCTCTCTCTCTCTCTCTCACGTGCATGTGCCCGCGTGCGCGTGCGCGCGCACACGCGCGCACACACACACACACACACAGAGGCACACATGTACAGTCCCACTGGGTTTGAAATGGTTGGTAAGAAAATGAATACTGGTAATCTTAGGAGATTCATTTACTGATCTATGTGATGATATCTCTTCTATAAAATGGGAATCTTGTATTTTATGTTCACTTGAATGTATTAATTTTTCTTAGTCTCTGGTATACAAGATGAAATTGGAAAAAAATCCCATGTCACACTTGAGAATTATAAAAACTCATTACATAATTCAAGAGACTGAAGCTTAAATTGAGACTCAGAAAGAATGCATTCCAAACCCTGTTTGCAGCTTGAAACACTGGAAACATGGTGTGGCTTTCTAACACAAAAAGAGTCAAGTTCCTAGTCACCACCTCTGTATGAGGGAAGAAGCTGGCCACAGTTCCCATGATCTGCATGTGTCGTTGACATATCTAAAGGGAAGATTTGGGTCTGGGGATGGGGTTCACTTGGTGGAGTGTTTGCCTGGCATGCTTGAATACCCGTGTTTGATCCCCAGCATCACCTACAATCAAGTGTAGTAGGGAACATCTAAAACCCCAGAGCTTGGAAGCTGGAGGCTGGGGAATCAGGAGTCAGTTTTGTAGTGGATTTGAGGTCAGCTTGGTAGATAAATAGATAAGTACAAGTTTGTGTATACTGGTCTAATTTACATATATTAAACAATTCACTTTGGTGCTGTTGGTTTAAATAGACTTGTTTACTGACCTAAGAGCTAAATATTAATTGATTAGTCATAGTTTTTGAAAAAAAAATCATCTCTCCACCATTTCAGCAATGTATAATGGTATGAATTGATAGTTTTACCTATTTTTATAAGCAGTAAAGAGATATTGCCTAATTTTATTTGTTTTTTTACTAAAGATATGTGTGTGTGTGTGTGTGTGTGTGTGTGTGTGTGTGTGTGTGACTCCTGGACACTTGAAATGTAGCCAGTATGACAGAGGAACTTAGATTTACTGAATGCAAATAGCTATATATGCTCTCTGTCTACTGTATTGGATTATACCATAATCAAGGTCTATTCTTCTACCGTGGAGGTCTAGCACTTGCCATGTAGCATTCTTTCTGCTTAGATTGAGCTATGAGGTTTGGAACCTCAGGCCCAGAGAGAAGAGATGATGAACTTTAAAGCCTGCCACTTGGGCCATAATTTCGCCATAGGCTTTTTGCCCCACTTCCAGCTCTGTCATGGGCTCATAAACCCTTGACCTTTATTCTCAGGCTAGATCTGTACTCTGAGGACAGTCTGGAAGCCAGGGAGTTAGGCACTTGAGCCCTTTTTCCAGGAAAACTGGAGAATTCTAAGGGTCAGAGTCACCATTAGACTTTATAACCTTAGGAAGCACAAGCATAGTGATTTTAACATCCAGGGTTAGTAGAAGAACAGCCTTCTTCTCCACTTTTCCTGGCACCTTCTCACCCAACAGACCGTGAGAGATTTTCAGTGTTGTGCAAGCATTCATGCCTTTTAGACCGATTGCAATAGCCCAGCCTCAGAATCCCTCGTGTCTTTTGCTTACTACATTCAGTCAACAGATCAGAGGTTACATTTGCTTTCAAAGGCCTCTCTGTGTGAATAAAAGCGGTTGGCCTTGTTTCCCATTATCAAGGAGTTCCATACTGCTCTGCTAAGTCCTCATACAAAGTAGAGTCATGTGTATTCCTGACAATAAAAAGCTTGTCTGTCGTCATATCCCTGTGTGCGTGGCTGCCATGGAAGAGGTATAAAGATGGGAAAGTGATGGGAACAGACTTGTGTACTACAGAAGTCTGTAGTAAACTGTGTGCCAATGTTATCTTGATTGTTTTCCTCCAGGAAATCAAGGATTGGTGCTGCATCGCTGTCTTCACAGACATCTCTAAGAATCAGCTTATGCATGATTGTGCGTGGCCTTCTCTAGGCAGCCGGATGAAGGTTTCTGCCACTTGTTCCGACAGCTGCATTGCTGAACCACTGAGCTCTGTTGGCTGAATGTTCGTGACACCCTTTCCTAACGCAGTTTACGAGGCTTAGACCTCTTGGACCCTATGTCATGGAAGCTTTGGAAGTAGATGACATCAGCCCTGCCTTAGAGGTGACTGAGGACTTCTTTAGTACTTTTGATAGTAAGCTGGAAAAGGCCGTACAGCAAGCAGAGGTTTATGGAATTCAGGAAGTCCCTGAACTGGTGGGGCATGAGGTATTCAGTAACATAACAGACAACGGTGCTTTGAGAAATGTTGTCTCCCTAGGGAGTAAGGGGAACATGATTTGGGACCACTGTAAGAGCAGGCTACTAGAAACCAAAGCTCAAAATGTCTTCCCTGCCAAAGAACAGCTTATGGTCCAGAGAGGGACAGCCCCAGATAACCTTTCCTGGATGGAGCAGAAGGAAGCATCAACCTTCAACTTTTTCAACATCTGTCAGCGTCGGAGGGACAGACCTCGTTCTGTGAATGATTTATTGGATGAGAGCACGACTTTCAAGCCAGGACATGCTCGGTCAAGGTCTGATGTTACCCATGTAGACTGGCGGCTAGTCCTCGGCACCATGCCTTTGCAGCAGCAGCAGCTGTCTCTTCAAGGCCCTCACTTTGCCAGGCCGTCTTTTCTGTTGCCTTCACCCAGTAAGGTTGAAGATGCTCAAGGAAATACAGGTATGCTTTATATCCAATTTAGTGAACAGCTGTTCATGTCTTCGTTGTCTCCCTTACATCTGCCGACTCTCCAGTTGCCACACCTTAGCCACACCGGTCTTCTTTCTCAGACTTTGTTCTTTGCTATCTTTTTATCTTTGGAAGAGATAGTTAGTGAAATTATGGTTCTGGTTAAGTCTCTTTTTCTAATCTTCTGTGTTAGAATATTGCACCAGATGTAGTACTTTCCTCTGAACAATGTGTGGTACTGTGCATTCATGGCAGATGTTTATTGGGTCACACACTGGACTCTATTAACCTTACTCCCTGGTGGGGTTAAGATGTGTGGAGATCCTGGGCCATAGTGGCGAACGCCTTTAATCCCAATACCCGGGAGGCAGAGGCAGGCAGATCTCTGTGAGTTCAAGACCAGCCTGGTCTACAAAGCTACACAGAGAAACCCTGCTTTGAAAAAACAAAAACACAAAAACAAAACAAAACAAAAAGATGTGTGGAAACACTGTCCATCTGATTTCTCATCCAGCTGAAGGGGTCAGGCATGAGTGACATTTCAGGAAGTTACTCAGAATGAGAGACAGTAGACAGCCAACTGAAGTGATTGTTTTACTCTACTTGCAAGTAAGTGGCAATGACTCTAAGAGGACAGAAGAAGCAGAAAGCACAAAGAGCGGGGCTGCTCCAAAAGAGCTCACAGGGGACACGGAATGGAGGGCACGGGAATTCAGAAACAGTTATGGAAGGTGCTAGTCAGAGTCACAGTGCGGACAAAGTGAGAAAGGGCAGGGTGTAGCTCAATTATAGAATACTTGCTTAACATGAAAAAAGGCCCTGGGTTTGGTACCCAGCCCCATAGGCTTCAGGGGAGGGGTAAGGGAAGGCGATGGGAATGCAGTGGAGGTTTAGCAGATCTTTGTGTGCTGAGGAGGAAGAGCCAGTGACATTTAGAAAGATCACTAGCGTCTCATGGTATAGGGCCTTCCGTTTTCCTCCAGTGTATACACAGTTGTGTGCATATATGTCTATCCGACTATGTGCTCACACACGAACTCTCCTGTGTGGCATAAAAAGCCATCTTTCCATTTACCACAGCATTTTCCTTCATGATTAAAAAAAGAAAAACTTTATGACTACCAATTTTTATTACTGATGATTCTTTATTTACTCTACTCAACTGTTAAATTTAAATGACTTCTCTTCAACTCACTGGTGTGTGTGTGTGTGTGTGAGTGAGTGTGTGAGTGTGTGTGTGAGTGTGTGTGTGAGTGAGTGTGTGTGTGAGTGTGTGTGAGTGTGTG